TTTAATGTGTAATAAATATCTCAGTGGTGTACCATTTTTGTCTTTAAAAAATTTGAGATTATTACCCGTACGCGCACCAATGATGAACATAATATTCTTAATTGCGTGTCAAAAAATGCGCAATAACTACCTCTTAAAACCCACCAAATTTCATTTGCACATCTCGACCGGTTTCAGAGCAATAAATTAAATCGTCAGTTTTTAAGAAAAACTTTGACACCCCGTATCTCAGAAAACGAATCATTTGCGGACATACGTTTGTAAGCAAACTGCCATCATTTTCTCATGTAGAATCACTCCCTGAAATTTGTCGCACTTATTTACTAACACCCTGTATAAAGAAAAATATAAGTTTGAACAAACGCGTCAGAAATATTTTCCATAAATGCTTAAAATTTTTTAAAAAGGCAAACTTCTTAAATCATCTGATCATACCATAAAAATTATATTTTTACCGGAATAATACTGTGTCGTTATCACTTACCTTGTGCTGTTACTTCATGCTCCGTTTCAGCTGTGAAGCTGAGAAAAATGTAATCCATATTGCGTCAATTATTGATAATAGTTTGTTGACAGGTTTATTCATTATGTACATGAATTTAGAAACGTTTCTATTCAAAAACCTTAAAATTATAGCACCTCGATTACATTTAAGGGAAGCGGCTCAATTTAAGGAATAGACCTTTTGCGCCACTTGCAACTATAGGGCTTGAAAATACTGCATCACTATTGCTACTATCCCTTTTCGAGTTCGCTATCAGTTTTTTTTACCCATAGGTGCTCTAGAATGGAGGCGTAACCTCAAAAACGTATTTCCGCAGCTCATAAAAATGTTTTTCTCAATAACTCTATCGCGACACCTTGAGTTTTTCATATTATAAGTAAAAAAGATATCTTCTTTGGAGCCCTACTATCAGTTTTTTTCAAAAATCGGCAGGAGTTTTAGAGAATAGGTTTTTGGGAACAAACTGATGAAAAACTGAAGCGGTTTTTGAAAGAGTATGTCTTTTTACATATTAAGTAAAAAATCCAAGGTGTCACTCTAGTTTTTGAGAAAAAATATTATGTGATGGCGCGGAAATTTATTTTCGCTTTAGTTCTACGAATCTTAAATTCCACATTCCAAAAAAAGACAACAGGACCCAAATTGACATGTGTTTTTTACATCTGTGAAAAATTATATGAGGTACACTGTATAGTTTTTGGGAAAAGGTATTGAGATTCATTTCTGAAGTTTCGACTTAATTTCTAGGAATACTACAGATTTTTGGAAAAAAAAATAGTTCGAAAAGGCATGTCGTTTTACAAATTATGTGAAAAATTCAAAGTGACACTACAGTGTTTGAGAAACAAAATATTATATAGCTGTGAGAAAATTCGATTCTGAAGCTATTTACACCTTAATTGTAGGGAAACATTTAAAAAAAAATAAAATAAAATTATAACAGAGCTCGTGTTGTCTTTCTAAATTTGGAAAAATATTTTGTCTGTGCTTGTACGGAGGATTGGCACCCTCTGTGCAGGTATGGTAGGGTGGAAGAATGTTGGCTTGGGTCAATGTGAGAGATTGACACCGGTTGGCATTTGAGGTTTCCCTCATTCCTGCATTGAATAGTGGTTAGGGCCTACCAACATAAGTCGTTCCTGGGCGCAAATGCGGCGGTAGCTCTTTAGTTTTTGAAAAAAAAATATATTGTGTTTGTAAGAAAATTCGTTTATAGGAGTAACGACTTAATTCTAGCACTCGTATGGATTTAAAAAAAAAACGATAGCATGACACGAAAGCGCATGTCTTTTTACTCAGATTCTTCTTATATTTAAATTTAGAACAAATTCTGGAGATAAACTATCCCAAGATCGGGTTTATGCTATTTGTTCTATGCTATTTTATGTTATTTGAAATTAGTTGATTTCTTTGTAATATCAATTATAACGTATGTTTTAAATTTTATTGTAGATAACTTTTTAATATGTTCATAGATTCACTTTAACTTCAACCACATTTCTTTTTGTATAGTTTTACCTTGGCACATTTTTCGCAGTAATTTTAATCCTCGAATATCACACCAGTGCGAATTCGCACCACCTTTTTTTTGAACAGTTGGCATTTTTCACCTCGGAGCTGCCGAGGGGTTCCCTACCACTATTCCTTCTATAGTCCAAATAGTCAAGCCGTACCACAGCTGGCGTCAGTCTGTTATTGTCGGGCAAACTAGAGAGTCCGACAAGTCCGACGGTGCAAATTCGCACTAGTGTGACTTTAGTATAGGCAAAAGTGTGGCTAAATTTATATCATATAATCTGGAAAAAAAGTGAATTGAAATGCAAATTTTCAATTCAATTTTCACTTCATTTTACGGTCGAATATACTAGAACATTGTTTATTTAGTTATTGTTAGTAATTTTTCAACTTTTTTCAACAATAGTTTAATTGTAATATGTATTTGTCAATATTAATGGATAATATTGTTAAAATTAATATTTTTATACAAAAGAGTGCAAAATAAATGGCAATTTACAAAAAAGGAGACAAAAATCACAACTTCAGAATGCCTATATTTGAGATATTGGGAAATATCGATATATTTTTATCAGTTTGGAGGATTTTGTTCTTAAAAATATAGACTGTGAACTTGAAAATCCTTCTTTTACTTTTTCTCCCGCCATTATTTATAAGAAAAGATACGAATATAGAAAAAAATTTTTTTCTTCAATCACATTTTTTATTTCAAAAATAATGACATCATTTGATTTCCCGGAAAAGTTTACCCAGTTTTCATATAAATACGTTATATTTTCGTTAACAAATAAAGAAGACATACAGGTTCAAAGTTGGCAAAATCCCAATTCGCACTAGTGTGACTTTTAAGGTGGCTTACCCCAAGTGTGACCTTTGAGAGTTAAACTCCTTTACAACTTTTAGTTGTTTGCTATTGTAACTTACCGTACTAAGCCTATTTTCAAACTTAGGCATTTAACTTTTATATACACGGAAATATTTTTTCACCGAAACTTGATTTTAGTTCTATTAAGTATAAGTCGGATAAATTATTATAAAAATTTCAGTCTGTTTGTTGACCATGCATTTTTTTCTAACTTGCTGTCACCCTGTGAACTGGGGACTATTTTTTAAAGTACTTTCAACATTTCACTTTTCACTTTTCATTTTACAAATGTTGAAAGTCAAGAATAATTATATTTTATACACAACTGTACTTTACAAAAATGTGGTGCGTTTTAAGAGGCTTCAGCTATTCATTTTTACTGTGCAAATTACCAACTGTTTTTTGGATATTAATTTTGAAAACAGAAAATAGCCAGAAAAGTGAAAAGTAAGGAGGGAAAAGTTGAAAAGTACTTACAAAAAACAGACCCCTGGTCCTGTTATTTTCATGTAAACGCCTGTGACAACTGAAAGGAGATTCAATAATAGTAGCCAATTTGGAAATTTATTTGTTTAACTCTCCTCCGGTGATTGCAACCGTTTGAACAACCACAAGGTTCATCATATTCACCTACCAATCAGAGAACACCATTATCTGTTGATGTGATCCAGGCTTAGCTGAGCGTTTGCAGAAACACAGTCACTTGATAGACAGCCAAGTGCAATATTGTAACCACTAATAAACCCACACAGAAATCAGTGGGTTGCACAATTTCTCTAACCAAAAGAATTATTTGTACACTAGATCACTTCCGTTTAATCGATTTATTTGCTTTCAAGTTCGCAACTTTGTTATTTTAGAATCAACTTTGCCCAGTTTAACTAATTACTAATCTAGACATATTTATTTTTGGTTAGTTATTTCCTTGTACAAATTGCAAAACGTGGTCTTATGTATTAACTTAGACACTTTTTTTGTTTCATCTTCTCTACTTTCCAAATATCTTATCCTTTAATTATCTTGAATGAAATAACCTGACATCAAGAATTTTGGGTCCGTACTTACCAGAGAAAAAATCCACCCTTGACCCCTAAGTTTCTTGTTTGTATGCCACAATTGAATTTACCAATTGTTCGAAGGATGTTGCAAACTAATACTACCATTTTGTTACAGATTCCAAGAAACTGGAATTTTCCGTTAACCCACTAAGAAAGGCAATACAATACAAATGAGCACAAAACTAATTCTTGCGCTGAAACTCCTAACGAGATTTCGGATGTTCCATTAAAAAAGTACTTCGAAAGTATCCACGTCCCCATTAAACACCTTGTATACAATTAGATTACTTAGGAGCATGAAGCTAAAGGGATTCACTAATAGTATTCTGAAACAACCTCCAAATCTAATTAAATGGAGTGGAATGGATATGAAGAGTGAATTATATTCAAAAGTTTGCGACATACGGGACAATTTTTATTTTCAATATTTTCAAAAAAAAGTGGTTCCGCATCGTCCTGTACACCTTAATTATTAATTTGTGCATACATTTATGTCAACCGACTTTGACGGAAACTCAACTGATGTTTAAGTCAATAATTAAAAAATAAATAAAAATGGTTTCAAAGTATTTTTTGAAAGTACTTACCCTAAAATGGTATTTAACTTTCCATTCGACAGTGTTTGTTAAATAATCACAAATATAACTGTTGTTTAAAAATATGTTTTTTGAAGGCAAGAATTATTTAAGTTGTCAATATCACTGCGTTAATATACAGGGTATCTCTAAAGGGCCCGTACAACGCTCCAACCAGATATAATACTAAATAAGTTTTGAACCATATTATATCTGGTGGACCGTTGTACAGACCCTTTAATCACACCCTGTATACTGAAAATAAATAGACACCAAAACAAAAATAAACAAACGTCATATATATAAGAAGAATTTATTGTAACACAGGATTTTACCAATTGTGTCAGAACTGTTAGTATATTACATTTTTACACGGGCTACAACTTTATCATATTCAAGAGACGAATATAACAATTTATTATAGTAATTATATACAAATATATACAAGTTTGTACAAAATTAAAATTATTATTTTAAAAATTTCATCTATCTAAAGTCATTAAAATGTTCGCAAATAAAGCTAGGAGAATACTTATAAAGAGTGCTGTGGAAACATCGCTGCTGTTGGCATGTAACATGGCCGCTGGATTTTCCTCTGAAACAAAATAAATTTGTTGGACTACTAGATCTGATATACTTGTTTCTATAGTTTTTTTTTTCGGGTTAATATAATTTATGAAAATGTCAATAATGGATTATTAATTACATGTTTTCGCCCTAACATTGTTTCGATTCAAATATGTAGGTACATTTTATACACGACAACAACAACATGGCGACTAACTTTTAGAAGTAATTTCATCGTCATTTCACTGAAAATATAGGCTTCAAACTTGATTTACATAGTAAAACAATAGACATTTTTACTATTGTAAAAATACTTCGGAGCAGCTGTCACCAAACATGTAAAGCATTCTTTATCTTTGTTTTGCATATGCATGTGTGTAAGCTTATCTCTAGAACGTGTTTGCTTTTTGAGGTGGGGCACATTGACATGTGACTACATTAGCGTCGGTGTAGGTTATTAGCGAGCGATCTTTCTTAACTACAGATATTCGTTTGTTTTATCAGTATTAATTCATAGTTACAAAATACCTAAGTGTTTCTCATTTTCTCATTAAATATAAATTAAAGAAAGCTCGAGTTAGTTATTACATGCATAACTTGCTAATGAGTGTGTTTATTTTTAGCGATCGTAATCTATTTTTGTTAGTTATTCAGTCAATTGTCAGCAAAATGGTGGTCAAGGTCACTTGATTCTCCACGTCTAAAATGTGAGTTAATTTGATAGATCTCGGAAACGGTAAGAGATACGACTAACATGATTAGTTTTCGAAATATTTGGAAAAAACCGAAATAGGTACAATGGAAAATGAAAATGCAAGATGAACGATGCAAGATGCAAGATGAAATGGCAAGATGAAAATGTGAAAAATTCACGACAAGCAGAAATAGAAGGTTGATCTACTAGTATAGAAATGTTACCTGAAAATGTTGGCCATTTGGTTGTAACATAGGAAGTGATAACAGATTTATGGAAAATATTGAGTTTTCATGCATATATGTAAGTGTCATATACTGATTTCTTCTAAAAATGCGCATGCGTCTACATAATAACAAATCTATCAGTCGGAATGTCTCAAGCATTTTTAGATGGACTATAGTTAGTAGCTAAGTACATGTACTTTTAAGAAAAACTATCTATCAACGTCGGAATCTAAAGGGATTCAACTATCAAGAAAAAATTAGTAGATATTAAAAAGAATATTCTTTTATAGATTTAGATAGACTATTTCCCTTTTGTGCTTAAGCAAAAGTGAAAACCAATTCGTTTTCTTTAAACTGTTTTTCTGGTTTTGGGACTCTTATTTGAATAATATACGTATTACACGAAAAACTCAATACACAAAAGCTTTCATTAAACATGATCTATCCAGGTCTATAATAAAATCTTCTTTAGTATATGTAGGTGCATATGCACAATATCAAGTTGATTTCTACATCCTGAATGGTTCTTGAATAGTTAATCAACAGTCTTTCACGTCCAATCTTTGAAAGATTATAGATTACAGGTTTTGAAAATAAGAAAAATTTTTATAAAGTCATTGTTACCACCTGTATATACATAGACATAATTTAAAAGATATATGTAGGGTTTGTGTGTTAATAAATTACCTCAATATTTTGAAACTAATGGTATTTTAATTATATCCAATACTAAGATACCTAATGTACTATGTCCAGTGAATTATTATCTTTTTAAGGAAACAAAGATATCTTCGTTTTGGGATTTTAGTGGTATAAAAAAATACTTTTATTTGGAACAAGGAATGCTTGCAATGTTTAAAGAGAAATAAGTGCCCTTCATCTTCCAGATGCAGTAAATAAAAAATATGTATCAAATTATTTCTTCAAAATGAACAGCAAGTAAATGGAAATTAAAAAGCAAATATTTAACCTGACCACTTAGTTGTGGAAATCGTGGTAATATTTTTTATAAGGCATTTCTAACTCATATACTTACAAACACAACTTTGTAAACTGGTATTATTTAGTGGTGCACAATTTGCCGTAGTGCGATTAATTTCAAAATATGAAAAAACCAGTTTCCAATTTCGCCATAAATACAAAAATGTATTATGAATGGTTTACTTACTAAGTAGTGTACAACACATGCTCCACAATATACTGGACTCTATACTGATATATAGCCTAATTTGTTTAAAATTAAAATACCAATTTTGCGGAAGAAAACGTGCGGTGCATTTTATGGTGCATACATAATTCTAAAATAGTCTATAACCACTAAAATTATAGTTAAACTTAAATTCAGTGTTTTAACTGTTTATTATTTTGTTAAAAGTCTTTGTCGAAACATGCATATTTTAATCGTTTTTTTTTTTTAATTATCATGTTTAAAAAATATTAGGTATACTTCTTAGTCACTATACCTAGTTATGTAACTTAAAAAAGACTTGATTCCTGGCATCAAAGATGTTATTAGTTTACAAAAGTACAAAGTGTAAACTAAGTTTTTTAAACATTACGTTTGCATAAATATTTGATGCAAACTAATAAAACTGAGAATAATGACGACAAATAAATGTGAAAACTGCTATTTACTAAGGAAAAGATATCCATTTCGATTTTCTTAAAGAAATTTAATCAGATGAATGTTTTATTAAGAAAAAACTACTAGACCATAAAAGGCAGTTCCCTAACTGTTTCTCTTATAAAGGTCATAGAATTGTTTCTATGACCTGCAAAAAATCCTGATTTGACCACCATATAGTTCTCCCTTAAGGGAGATGAATGACAAAGTAAACAAAGGACGATCTAATAATTTACAAGACTTAAGGAAAAAATATTAAACCAAGTTATAAGTAATAAATAAATAAAATATAGATAATATAAATTACTAATATTAATAATAATAATCAGAAATATGATCCCAAAAGAGTCAAAAATATAAGGTGTTCAATTTGATAAATAATAATTGTGATAAGATTTTTAGAAAAAATGTTTTGAATTTTTTTTTATTTAGCTTAATTAATACCTTTAAAATGAGTAAAAAATACGAGAGCGAATAATAGAATATATTTCAAAAAAATACATTTTAAACTTGAAATACTAACTGGAATGGAAATTTTCGATTTTTTAAGTAACACTAGTTAGAGCGTTTTTCATTAACTAACATGTGTTTAAATTTCGTGTCAGGTTCTGAAGGTCGTCCAATAGAAACTGTACAATTCAAAAATATCCAACTATATACTCTCTACCAACCCATTGCGAAATTTTGATGGCCACCTACACCTGCTGGCCAGCTGACCTTTGCTACATCAAGCATATGTATCAATAATCTCCAAACAATCCAAGTCCTTGTAGCAGCTTTAAAATCTCCCATCTTCCGATTTTTTTCCAAACAGTCAATTCAGTAAACAAAAACACTGATCTCTTGCCGTCAGAGATGAGCCAGGACGATGGACAGTTGAGCGACAAAGGATTGGAGAGATAAATTTTAATACACTTGCGAATTTTCAAACTATTCCTACCAACCAGTTCGAGAAACGCTGCACATTCACCAGAGGCAACCCCACGTCAACAGACGACCAGGACAACCCGAACGAAGATGACATGGACGTTAGCATTTTTGTTCTCCAATCGGTAATATTTCATGTTGAAAATTCCGCTTTTATTAACCAGGACACAATGCCTGGCCAATTGCGTGAATCATCTCTTTAGTTTATCAGTGAAAATTTTAGATACAAATACCTCCTAAAGGAACGAAAAAGACAGCGAAAGGAACACTAAAAAAACTAAATAAAGTGTTCTTTAAAAAACCTCAAAGAGGAATGGAATCTCTTGGATTCAAATTTGAGATGAAGTGTGAACGACTACTAGATCCATCCGAGCTGTCAGACAGGTTGAAGCGAAAACAAATAGGGCATATCCAGCTCTCTAGGCTTGCTAGTAAGTATAGAGACATAGCAGAAAATGAATTGTCCTCTGAAACGTTCCAAGTCTTTCGATGAGGGTCTGATGCAAAAGTTCCTCAAAAAGGTGGCCATTTGTCACCTTTGAAAAGTTTTTTTTTCATTAAATTAAAATGACACCTTTTAACAACAAAAACAGTTTAACTCTTGAAAAGTAATATAATACCTCCTAATATCTCCGCCACTGATACAATATAAATTCTGGGATGTTTTTCCTTTACTTGCGTTTTTTTTTTAATTTCAACTTTAAAAGGCCAATGGGTTTAGTCTTTGGTTGATATTGAAAAATACATACATATTTAAAGTATTTTTTTTATTCTTTTTATTTCGTGTTAGCTTGTCAGTAACAGGATATCTCAAACTTTCAATACCACAGTGCTCAGATGTCTCCTTCCAATTATAATTTCTACGCGAGTTTGGCGTAGTCCTCATTTTCCCATTGAAATCGAAGTTGTTACTTGTCAGATGCAATCCCGTTTCTCCTTGCATATACGTGGGTACATCAAGCTTACATGGAATGGAATTCAACGAAGGTAATCATCATGTGTTGTTGTTGGTGCAGATGAACTGACATAATAAGGGTTTTGGAATTTCGCAATGCAAAATTTTTGCCAATTAAGTCATGAGCGTTATCATTCAGTAGGTAATTTCAATAGAATATGAAAACAATTGCATTGCAAATTATCTACTTTAATATATTTTTTTATTTGATAATTTTCGGATATAGAAAAAGAATGCAAACATATGTTTTATGCTGAGTTTGGCCCAAATCGATATAAAATGTCGTTTTACAGATTTTCATATTTAATCCTTAATCTTTTGATACGTGCAGTTTTCCATTAGCCCATTTTGCAGCTATAAAATCTGATTTTAAAAACGCTAATTAGCAAATTATATTTACTAATCTTAGTACTAAAAACTGTATGAATAATTTTATAGCATAATTAAAATATTAATAGAAATTTGAATAAAAAAATTCAAATCTTTATAGGAAATTTCCATTCTGTTTCAGCTCTGCTACTATTAAATCATTAAAGAGAAGGAAAAATATCACCATTTATGGAAAAATTTTGGTAATCATTGACTATTTGACATTAGAATTTTGAGGGATAGATCTAAGCTTCTTATATTCAAGAATTATAAACATTATATTAAATATTGCGGAGGTGCAATAGGAATCATTCCTATTGCAAAAAAGTTTTAGAAATTTACAAATAACAGGAGAAAGTACTTCTATAAATTCGATTATACACAATGTTATTCTCTTCTCTGTCAGGACATATTATCTAACTTTTTCTTACAATTAGCGTTTTATATCCTCGTTTAATGAGTCAGTTAATAATGCTTGTTCTTTCCAGTTCAAAATAATAACTATATAACCATAACCAATTATCATGTTAGTAAAGAAACTATTATTTAAAAGCTTAAATCTTTATCTAAAAAAGCTACACTTTACTAAGGATATTTTAACCAATGTGTTGATGGCATCCTTGATACGTCATTATTCCTGATTTTTAATAAATCTATTTTGGAAGAACACTTCCCTAATATATGAAAAAGAGCATACGTTATTCATATTTCTCGAGGATTTTATTGAAAACTGTCTTCCAATATTCCATATTGTAACCAATCCTTTCAAATCTATTATGAATTTATATACAGGGTGTTTGTAAATAAGTGCGAAATATTTTAGGGGGTGGTTGCTGAAGTTATTTTATGGAAAAAAATTCATATAAATGTAGGCCGAAATATGCTTCGTTTCCGAGATACAGAGTGTTTACATTTTAATTTTTTATTTATTTTATATATTAATTATTTCAGAGTTTTAAAGATATTGCCTCGAAATTTAATAAACGCTTTGGAGGGATAAATGTACATTTTTTGGGGTGATCTGAATAATATTTCTACATGTATCTTTAAATAAAAGATTAGCAAAACCTACAATAAAATATGTTTTATTTTTTCCTTAAAACCGGTGCTTCCTATGAAAAAAATTTAAGGGTCGAATTTCATTCAGAATTGATGGCGGATTTCTAAAAAAAATATCAAAACTTGAAAAAGTCAGTGGTGTACCATTTTTTTTTTATTATAAAATGTTATGGTATTCTCGTATGAACGCCACTAGTGGAAGTAGAAATATTCGGATCTCCCCAAAAAATGCACATTTATCCCTCCAAAGCGTTTTTCAAATTTCGAGTCAATATCATTAAAACTATGAAATAATTAATAAAAATAAATAAAAAATTAAAATTTAAACACTCTTTCTCGGAAACATATATCGACCTACGTCTATATGAACTATTTTTCACAAAATAACTTCGGCAACTACCCCCTAAAATATTTCGCACCTATAAACACCCTATATAGAATTTCAGATTATCTGTGTAGGCTATATCCCTTGCAATAAACCGTAAATTACAAATAGATGATATTTACCCTGATTTTAGTAAAGCTTTTGTTAAGACAAATCATCGTGTCACGTTCAAGAAACTTTTATTCCGTTAGTTTCAGTCCGTACTTTTTATATATACATTATACCAAGCTGCTAGAACTGGAGAATATTCTTCTAAGTCAAGGTATTTTTTGGTATTTGGTATTTTTCTACTGTCATTCTGCTGAACAGTACCGAAGACGTTACAACAATTTTTACTGTGAAAGAAAACCACATTGCAATTGTTCCATGAATGATAAGTACACATATAAGTATCTAGATACGATATTAATATTTAGAACTGTTAAGTTGGACAAAAGACACTTCAAATTTCGAGCCCTGAGGATGGTGTAAAACAACACCGAAACGTTGGCAATGATTTAAAATATAGTGTTCTTTTATTTATTGATCATTATCCCACTAAAACCTTGACTTGGATAACTAATCAAGATCACAAAACAGTGGAAACGTAATATTCTTCTAATTTTTCATTAGTCACTTCAGGAGTCCCCCACTGATCGCACTTAGTTCCTTTTCCAATTAATGATGTAACTAAATGTTTTTAGTTTACTAACTTAACAGTCTTAAAGGGATTCATTCTGTGGTTGATGTGGTATCGGTGCTGAGCTGATGTAAGAAGGTTCAAATACTTTGAAAAAATAATGCGATGAAAAACGATTTTACATAAAAATTAAGAAAAGCTTAATTTTGGGTATATACCTATTAATCTAAAATAAATGTATAAGAATGTAAATTATAAGCTCTTTCCTGACATTGTAGACAATTTTATAAATCAAAAGAAGTTAAGCATTCGAGGATGGGAAACATGTACATAAGTGATATTAATTTTTCTATAAAATTTAATAAACGTTATAATTTCATCATATTATTTATAAGATAAGAATGTATTCAACTGTAAGCACGCTTAATTTATTACTTGAATTTACCTCTAAATATAAAGGGTGATTCAGAACTTATTAAAAAAAAAATAAAAATTCTGGATGTACAGGGGACCCTTACAAATACAATTTTGTAAAGAAAAAATCAAAAAGGGCAGTTCGAAAATACTTTAAAAATACACTTCTGCACGGCACTGAAAACTGGTCAACTGTAAAACCTGACCACGCACAATGCGACCGGCATGGCGGTGTGATAAAAACGGACAAGAACTTTCGAAAGGAAAGACATATGTAAATAAAATTTTATCGCACCTATTTTATATCGACAAATTCAACTGCTACAACAACAATTTGTTCAAAATTTTATCCACCAACGTGTAAACACATTTGGGTCCATCTTACTCAGTTTCTACGAACTAACACAAATGTCCTGCTTCACCATAACACAAATGCTTCACCATAAATTAAAACGATATCCATCAACTCCGAGTTGCTATACACGCAAACCATTTTTGACACTAACTACTAAAATACTATTGTAAACACCACAGATAACAGGTAAATACTATCTCAATGACGATTGCAAAATCCGATATCAGTATTCGGAGTCGCTGAGGGCACGTGGCTCTCCACGCGTATTGCGAATGACGCTAGAGACTATCCCAAATTTGTTTGGATAAGTTGTGAATCACCCTGTATGTGTATCTACTTATAATCAAATTTTTCATAATATACCTACTGTTATTTTTTTCCTGTCTATATATTACTGAAAAAATATATACGTTTTTAAATTATTTTTAAATATTTTTTGTAATTATTGTTATGTTATCTTTATTTATGTAATTTGTAAATACTTCTTTGTTTCTTTCTAATTTTTCCTTATCCATATGTTCACTTATTGTACATATTGTTCGATTAACACTCAATTCTTTTAAAGAAATACGTATCTGGATTTGACCTGTACTCGTGTTACAATAAACAATAAACCCAATTTGAAAAAAAAAACGACTTAAGGCGTAAGTAACGACTGATTCAATTCGTACTGTTATAATTGTATTTTAAATAAATTTACCTTTTTAACGGCTCAACATTTAGTTTGAAAAAAAACACCGGACTCTACCTAGCTACCCATGGGTTTTGGGGTCGCTGATTCAGATGCCGAGGTCGAGTAAGCTCTATCACCTCATTTTCAAGGTCATTTCAAGGTTAAAGTAAGGATAGAAGGTGAACTATTTATCTGTCTGCCTTTTTACTTACACACCTATTTGGTTGTTTGTTAGTCTGCATTTATCGTCCGCCTGTATTTTCTCTCTGTCCATCTATCTGTCATCATGCCTTTCTATCTGCCTTTCTGTCGGTAATTTTGTCTATCTTCCTCTCTAACTATGTTTCTACCTGTCTGTTTTTCTGCCAGTCTCTCTGTCTAAATGTTCACTGACAGTCTGTCTGACTCGTTGTCAGTTTGTCTTCTTACTTTTCTGCCTACATGCTCTCTCGGTTTTGCGTGACTGTACAAAAACTAGATAAATCAATTCGCTTCTCTGAGCATAAGTGTATTAATCGAAATTCATGCGAGAACGCTCACATTATTCCTGGAATGATCTTCGAATCGTTTATATTTATATGCTTTATTTATGTCTCTCTTTAGATTCCAGCAATAGTCTGCTAACATATTCTTCCCCCAAACACCTTGATATCTTTGTTCAAACTCATTCAGGTCCTGGTGCATCTTCCTCCATGTCCTTCACTAAAAGCTCCCAAATTTTCTAGGTACCAATAAAAACGAGAATGAAAAAATGAAGTGTCAGATTCATATGACATTTAGACAGTGGGTGGAAGAAAAACAGACAGATAAAAACATTTAGTCTTTTAGTCAGACAGGAAGGTAGACAAAATTACCGAGAAAGGCAGGTAGAAAAGCAGATGTAGATGGACAGAGAGAAAATACAGCCGACGATAAATACAGACTAACAAGCAAACAAACAGGTGTGCAGGTAAAAGACAGGTAAACAGACAGAAGTGAACAGGTGAGCAGTGAAAAAATATTTTCCAATTTTTTTCACCTCCTATTCTTAATTTAACCTTCAAAAGACCTTGAAAATGAGGTGATAGAGGTCAACCGACATCGGATTCGGACTCAGCAACCCAAAAAACCTATATATGAATTTTTTCAACCACCTTTTCTTAGTTTGACCTTCAAATGACCTTGAATCTGACGTGATAGAGCTTAACAGACCTCGGCATCGGAATTAGCGACCCTAAAATACCCCTAGATATCTAGGTAGAGTCCGATGTTTTTTTTTAAACTAAATGTTGACCTGTGTTATTGATACAATACGATTGATTAGTCAATTCAAACCGTTCACTCAGTATGTAAATTAAAATACACTTTTGCAATAACATTCAGTGTATGCCACTTTAGACACCTGCTTGTATTATGAGCAGATGGAGTTGCAGGTAGTTATTCTCTTAAATCTTTGAATGTACTTTACCAAATTTCAAAGAAATATCCTAGAGTGACGGAGTTATCTTGAAAATAATGAAACAAAACAGGTTCTTTAAGGACCCCAATAGCCTCCGGTCCCTGGAGAAACCTGCCACCTACTTACTAATCTTATCTAACTTAGTTCTGTCTTAAATTACCTTCGGTGGCATTGAGCACATGAACGTTGATGTAAGCCGGGATGGCGTTCGACGGGTAACAAGTGTAGTTGCCGTTGTGGCTCGTGTCCGCCTCCTCAAGCTGCAGGACGCTGGAGGCACGATCCGCGGTTACCGACACTCCGGGGTCGTGATTTATCATTCTTTGTTCGTGGTACCAGAACACGTACTCGGGCGGCTCCGTGGAGTGCCGCAGGGTGCAAACCAGGCGCAGGAGGGAGCCGGCGCGCACGTGAAGGTCCGGGGAGCCCATGATTTCGGCAGATGCCTCTGTAACAAATAAAAATTCAGAGATTTTTTTTATATATTTGACCTGTATATTATACAGCATGACCTATCTCAAATGAAAACACTTTTGTAATTAATTGCTCATATTTTTTTTAAATATAGAGCTTCTAAGATTTTGTTACATTATAATATAATATTTGAATCTATTTTCAGGTCTTAAACCCCGCTTTTTTATTACTACTTTTTTTTGTTGTTGGAAATAATTGACTAGCGAATTTTTTATCTAAAATCTAACTATGCCAATGGATTTTGCAGCCCCCGAATATAGTTTGTTATAGCATATTGTATTGTTAATATTTAATTTTTGTCACATTTTACACCGAAAATAAATAAAGGCTTTAATATAAATTCAAATGCTAGAATGCTAGAATTTTTTAAAGGGTGTTTTCACTTGAAATGGGTCACATTGTATATTAATTGCTTTCGATTTAACACTCAACTGAGGAGAAAACCCACTCATATTAGATAAATGATATGGCAGAACTAAAGACAATGGCATAACTGATTTAAATTTTCTAACCTCAACTTTTGTTTTTAATTTAATGTACACTTCTATATTATAGTAGTTAGTAGTTAGCAGTGTGGGTACACATGCCGCAAGTGACCCATTTTAAGCATTACGTCAAGAGCGCCGCCGGACGCACCAACGTTCCAGGAAGAGTATACGGCGGGCTGGCGCTGGCGACCAGATGCTTACTCATATACCTACGACCCACTCCACACACAGGGGACTCTCCAACGAACACTCACCCCGTCAACACGTCTTTTTCTATACAACTTAGTTTTCAATAAAATACTTTATTATTACCGTTGAGAGAGCGTTTTATTCTTGCTGTACAGCGAAAGCAACACTCAGCAGACTAATTAAAAATTACTTATTTAAAATATTATTTAATTATTATTACCCATGATAGTATCGTAAATACTCTACTTCAATTAAAATCCATAATTTGTAATTTTAATACATTTATAAACGTAACCTCAAATTCTCAGTTCTGGTGTGAATCGCAAGTCACTCGGGATCGGTAAGGGGAAGCATAAGTTCTTCGGTTACTTTTCCTCAGTTGTTGTCAAGTTTAATGACCCACCCACCAATGCAGCAGTGGTTAGTTGAGGTGAGGGATAAGGATTTGATGCAAATCGAAAGCAATCGTATTAAATCATATTTTAAATATAGAACAGCTGTAGTACAGCGTGTCATTTTGTGCAAAAACTTTCCTATGAACATGGCTTTGCAGATGCTTGATGGAAAAATTATAGGATGATATATTCTGCTAACTGCAATATTTTTAAAACAACTTCGAAACTACAAATCAAATCCAAATGAGTTGACGTAGAATGTACAGGGTTAATCACTATAATCTGACAACTTATTGCGAGTTTATTATTGAAATTACAAAAATATTTAATACAAAAGTTTTAGTCTTTTTTATAAATTTTTATAATACAGTATTAGAAAAAACAATTAATAATATCTCTACTCCTCATTCTAATTACGAGAATTAGCCCAGAAGTCTGAGACTTGTGCGGGAGAGGAGGCGGCATATTATTATTATTATGCAGGCCGCATTTGCGCCCAGGAACGACTTATGTTGGTAGGCCCTAACCACCATTCAGTGCATGCATGAGGGAAACCTGGAAAACCTCATTAATTAGGGGGGTGGTCAAATGCCAACCGGTGAAAATCTCTCACATTGACCCAAGCCAACATTCTTCCACCCTACCATACCTGCATAGAGGGTGCCAATCCTCCGTACAAGCATAGCTAATCTACGGTCTATCGGCCGCGGGAATCAAACCCGGGCAGAAATTTGCACACGATTAAAGGACTGACGCCTTAAACCGTGCGGCTATCGACCGACCAATTGAATAATAGAAATCACTAAATTAAACATTTTTTTTTTAATGGAACACACTATATATTAGTACATACTTAGCTACGTTAAACTTTTCATTTTTCAAAAATATATAATATGTTACTGTTTGATTCAGGACTTTTCGACATATTTCAGTTTAAAACTATATATTTTTGAAAAGAACAGGAGGGAAATTTATGTCTGACGGATCGCAGTGGCTATGGACGAAGCACGCAGCACAAATAAATGACTTTGACAGAAATGTATTTATCATTATTAATTTATTTCCTATAACAAACTATTTTAACAAAGAAATAATGTTTAGTGAGAACGAAAAATTGTAAGTTATCTGTTTATTTTACAAGAATAATGTTAATACAGCGCGCGCCGAGTATGCTTGTTTGCATCCTGGGTTTGCAATTCTATCTCAAGCTGCATTTTACGACATTGAGCAACGCTTTAGAGAAACAAAATCTCTTGGAAGACAGAAACGAAGAATTATTCCAAATGAAGAATTAGAACTAATTATATTACTATATTTTCAACGTAAGCAAATATTCATTCGAGGTTTACCATGGTAAATTCATATACTAAATATTGTAGAAAGGTCACAAGAGTACACAGTAAATGCTTCAAGAGAGTTAGGAAATTATTTAAATAATAGATTTTATTTGTGAATTGGTAATGGAGGAAATATTCAATTTCCTTCAAATAGCCCAGACCTTACACCTTTGGACATTTTTGTATGAGGTTACTTAAAAAACGAGGTTTATAAGGCAACTAGTGTAAACTTAGATGAACTAAGACATAAAGTTGATCAATGGATTTAATTTATTTAAGTGAATTTAATTCCCATTTCATACTAAATGCAGTTCTGAAAATTAATGAGGATTATACGAAGTGCATCAATAATGATGGCGGTCGCGTTGAGCACCTGTGACCATTTGTGTTTTAGTTGGTTTTTATTAATTAGGTATTAAAATTCTCTTAAAGTTAAGAGTTGTTAAAGTTACGATTGATTTTTATTATTATCATAAAATAAACGGATAACTTCAAATTTTTCGTTCTCAGTAACATTATTTCTTTGTTAAAATAGTTTGTTATACGAAATAAATTAATGATGACAAATAAACTTATGTCAACGCCGTTTGTTTGTTCCGCGTGCCTCGTCCATAGCCACTGCGATTCGTCAGACATAAATTTCTCTCCTATTTTTTCAAACATAGTTTTAAACTGAAATATGTCGAGAAGTCCTGAATCAAAGAGTGATGATAAGTAGATGTAGTGTACACGGACATATCTAAAGCTTTTGATCGAATAGAACATTGAATTCTGTTGAAAAAGCAGAGAGGAATTGGTTTTAGCCCTGCATTGTTGGACCTATTTTAGTCTTATATTAAAGATAGAGTCTACTTTGTTGCGTTTAATGAATACAAATCTCAGCGACTTACTGCAACATCAGGAGTCCCCCAAGGATCCAATTTAGGCCCATTGCTCTTCCTAATTTTTATCAATGATATTTGTATTTGTTCTGTCTTGAAATGTGAAAATCTAATTTTCGCTGATGATTTGAAAATATATAGGAAAATTGATGATACCTCAGATAATTTAATCTTGCAGAATGATCTGGCCAATATTGAACTGTGGTGTAAGAAAAATAAGTTAGAACTTAACGTTGCTAAGTGTAAAGTGGTTACATTTACCAGAAAGATAAATTTTGAGAAATATATACATATATAAAATTAATAATCAGAGTTTGCAATCTGTAGAAACAATTAAAGATTTAGGAGTTTTATTTGATTCCCGTTTGAGTTTTGTTGATCACATTTATCAAATACAATCACATGCCAGGAAAATGACCGGGTTTATAGTCCGCAATTGTCATTCGTTTACTAATATCAAAGCTTTGGAACTTCTGTATTATGCGTATGTTAGATCGAAGCTTGAGTATTGCTCATTGATTTGGAATCCCTATTACATTCTGATGCCCTTGAAAATGTTCTAAGGCGTTTTTTGAAATTCTTGTCTTTTAAGTCTACTGGTATATATCCGGCTCAGGGCTTCGGTCACAATACATTATTAGATATGTTTAACTTCCAAGCTTTAGAAACCCGCAGGCGTTGTCAGTCGGTAAAATTGCTTTATAATCTAATTCATAATAAAATCGATTGCCCAGATTTGCTAGAGCAACTAAGTTTTCTAGTACCACGCGCTGAGATGAGGAATTATTATTATTATTATATTATATTTTTATTTGCCAAGGGCTTGCACAAACTTATTGTTAAAGTNTATTCATCCATAAAATTATTGGAATCAGTAATCTAAAAACGATTTTGTAGATATAATTAAAAAATGTGTTAATGGCAATGCACATTTGTCACATTCCATTTTCTTACTAAGCCTTATCGCATTCATGTTTATAGTTAACTTTTTTTCGTAAAATAACATTCACCGTCTCCGTTCAGTTTGGCATAATAGCTTTATAATAATAAAACATGTAAATATTAAACATCGATGTTGTAACAGACGGTATAAAGTAAATTTCAGTTAAAATAAAAAAACTGGGCTCTAATGGGGCTCTTAAATTATTCAAAAAGTGCTGTGAATTAATGTTTGTTATAGTTTTATAATAATAAAACATGTAAATATTAAACACCGAGTCTAACATCGATGTTGTAACAGACGGTATAAAGTAAACTGTTTCAGTTAAAATAAAAAAACTGGGCTCTGATGGGGCTCTTAAATTATTCAAAAAGTGCTGTGAATTAATGTTTGTTATAGTTTTATAATAATAAAACATGTAAATATTAAACACCGAGTCTAACATCGATGTTGTAACAGACGGTATAAAGTAAACTGTTTCAGTTAAAATAAAAAAACTGGGCTCTAATGGGGCTCTTAAATTATTCAAAAAGTGCTGTGAATTAATGTTTGTTATAGTTTTATAATAATAAAACATGTAAATATTAAACACCGAGTCTAACATCGATGTTGTAACAGACGGTATAAAGTAAACTGTTTCAGTTAAAATAAAAAAACTGGGCTCTAATGGGGCTCTTAAATTATTCAAAAAGTGCTGTGAATTAATGTTTGTTATAGTTTTATAATAATAAAACATGTAAATAT